CCACGCGCTGGGAGCGGTCGCTGCGCCGAGTGCGGCCAAGCCCTCCGGGCCCCGCGGCGGCCGGGCCGGCCCCAGAAGCCCCGCGGCGGGAGGAGGCCCGCGGGGAGGAGCGACGGCGGGGCGGAGGGCGAGGCGGCCCCGGGCGACGCGGGCTGTGCGGCGGCCCCCCGCGTGGTGTGACACGGCCGGGCTTCGAAACGGGGCGCCTGGTGCTCCTCTCGGCCCGGCGACGGTGCCTGCAGGCGCTGCAGCGCGTGCTCCCGGGCCCGTGGGCCTCAGGAACCCCTGCGACGGCGGCGGGGGGGCGGGGGCGGGGGCCGGGGCCACCCTGTGACGAGAGCCCCCGTCCCCGCCCCCAGCCTCCCGCACCGGCGCCCTGGGTTCCTCTTGCGAGACCGTGGGCTTCAGCCCCAGACTGCTTAGTGTTTCCGGGTAGAAGCACTCCGAGCACTTTAATCCTTTAAGCGCCTGTCAGCGGAGGGGACTTGAGGGAACTCTGCGACTGGACTGTGGCTGGACTGTGTGACGTAACCGCAGACTCATCAGTTCAGAAATTGTCTGGAAATGGACTTGGGCAAAGACGTTCGTGGCCTGCCCCAGCCGGCTGGTCCTGCCGCAGGAAGTGATGTCTCTGAGCCTGCCGCTCCACGGGAAGGAACAGGACACCCCGCTAGCACGCTGAGCAGGGACCCCTTCCTTTCCCGGGCCACTTGTCCTTGTGCCTGAGAGGCACAGCTGCCCACGGGTTCTGCCGGCTGCTTCTCCGAGGAGCCGCAGCACCCAGCTCACATCTTCCCAGAGGCCTGGGGCAGGGCTGCATACGGGGCCACTCTGGTCTCTCACGGGAGGGGACTCCAGGCAAGGCGTGTTTTCCCTGCCCACCAGGCTCACCCTCCTCACTGCCTTCTGCTCCCCCAGACCCCACCAGCGAAGACCACCCTGGCCTCTCCGCCCCACCTCCCCACTCTCAGTGCCTAGAGCTTCCTGCAGCGCTGCGCTCCGCCAAGGCGCGGTCCTGCGGGAAGACAACAAGCTGGGTTAGGGATTCGCATAGAGCTGCGGGCAGTGGCTCTCTCGTTGGATCTGCCTTTCATATGACATTTCTTATAATATTGAAGGTTCAGCTGCTTTGAATATTTTCGCATTCAGGAGTAATGTAAGTTAAAGATAGAGATTTTTGCCTCATGATTAAATAAGACTCCCCCACCCTGTGAGAAGACCTCAGGCAAGAGAAAGCCGGGCCCCTCCTCTCCCCCCTCCTCCTCAGCCCCACGGAGACAGGGCGGCTGGCAGTGTCCTCACCGGCTTGCCACCTCCTTCCAGCCTTCTTCACTGCCAGGCTCTCTGGCAGGCAAGTGGTAGGTCCCCACTGGGCCTCCGAGGAGCACGGGCGCCTACCCTGCCACACAGGGGAGGTTCGACTGGACATCAGGACAGTGAGGGGAAACCTGGAGATGCAGAATTCCTTCCGAGCAGGCATCTTGGAGCTCTGATCACTAGGATGACCCCAAAAAAGAGAGATACAGGTAGACAGAAACAAAGACATAGAGAAGTTTGATCTAGCTATATCAAAAAGAGTTTGATACTATTTATGGAACGTTCTAGAGTTCTTATATCTTGCTTTTATCTCATAGCCCCTTTCACTGGGTCTGTGTCCCCTTGTCCTTTGACTGTCTTCTTTGTGTCACGTTCATGTTTGCTAGCACTTCAGAAACATGTGAAGTGAATATGGCCCCCTTAGCACTTTACCTCCAGCCCCGTCTGAGGGGGTCGAACGGATCTGCATCTTGGGGTTCTCCAAGGGAAAAAGAAGTATCAGCAACAGTGTCTTTGAAGTCCATGGGCAGGTCATTGGGAAGCATGTGTTTCCCTGAGGCACAGACGATCTTTGAAGGCAGGTAAGGGGTCAGGAAACCAGTCCCCATGCAGAGCAAGGAACAGAGGCAGGAAGCCACACACATAGACTCCGCTCATTCGGTTCAACTGTGGCCTGACCAAGATTGGGACGACAACCACCACGTGAGGGGAACCAGACAGAGACCAGATCCATGGGCTCCCGTGTCCGTTTCCATCGCTCTCATAAGTGAACAGCATGTGACGTCATCCCATCTGTTCCACTGGACAAGCCAACTTCACTTCTACCGTGAACTCCTTCGCTCATGGGACCCATACCCAAAGGTGACTGGCTACAGGGGGTGATGTACAGGTGTTTTCAGCAGAGGGTGCTGGACATTTGTGCTCTGGTTTTGGAGCACCCAAAAGGTTCCAGGGTCCCCAAACGCTTACCCAGATAAATGACATTTAAAATAGCAATGCATCTTTTTGTCAGTTCTCTGTCTAATTTTGCTTGTCTTCATGACATTTTCACTGCAGTGTGATTATGAGTGTCATTTTCTCTCCTGTGTGGAATAAAAGCCAGACCACTTGCTCTCTGACACTTTGGACCCTTTGCAAGAGCTGTTTAAAGGCCGTGGCTCTACCCCCATGTAACTGCTATATTGTCCTGACTGAATTCATTTACTTTAGGGGCAAACAAATAAGGAGGCTCTAAGAGTGCTGGCCTTGAACAGAGTCCTCTCGTGCTTTAAAGTGAGCAGATAGCAGTTGAGTTAAAGGTACCAGGAAAGACTCAGTGTGGAACTGAGGGGGCAAGCCGAGAGACTATGTTTGGGTGAAGGTAAGGCAGAAACCTTGGAGGACGACACACCTGGGAATCAAGGGCAGCCATCCGAGGCCGGTGGGACACCGTGACTCGGAGACCAGGAAGGGCAGAGCGGCACAGCAGCACCATGAGAAACACAGCTGTGTCTTCCCTTCAGTTGCTTCTGTGTCTTTGGGCAACATGGCAGCACCCACACGCCCTCCAGTGTGGACCCGTGCAGCCCCGCGTGGGTCTGGACACAAGGCGGCTCCGCCTTCACCCTTCCGGCTGGCGCTCGGGCAGTACGGGCGCGGCAGGATTGCCTCTGCCACAGACGACTCTCCGACTCCCCAGGAACCACTCGGGACCTTCAAGCCTTTCCCCAGCCTGAGGGACACAGCCGGCCCTCACCCGGGGTGCTGACTGTGTGTCTTGCTAGGTAGCAGAGGTGACGACTGCGGTCCTGAGGCCAGAGCAGGGGTGAGTATCAGGGTAGTAGAGGTCAAGGGACTTCGGGCAGAACTGAGGGAAGGAGGGGAGCCCACATGTGGTCAGGAGCCCTGGAAGAGCAGAGGGGTTTCTGCAGGATGGTTGTGGGGTCCCTGGGAGCACAACGCAGGAAAGCCTGGGATGCCGGATGGAGGAGTTTGGTCTCTGGTTGCTGATGAGGAGCAAGTTTTTGTTAGCATGAAAGAATTATTCTCAGATGGAGGAGGGAAGTTCACATACATTATAACACTGTCATCACCCAGACGGTTCCGATGTCCATTATGTGCGGAGCCATGACGGTCCGGCGCAAGCAGCCGCAGCCGACGTTCTCAGGCATCCCATTTGCCGCGGCGTTGCCCACGGGTTGCCTCCGACACAACGCTAGGGTGTCTGTGACTTCACAGCATGGGGCACACCCAGGTTGGGAAGTCACGGCTTCCTCATCTCTCTTACATAGAAGTGTAAGTGGCATGTGTATCTTCAGATAGTGACCATAAACACCCAGCACCCCAAAAGTTACCTGCCTCCCTGCACTGCCGCCTCCCTGCCCCTCCTGGCTTCCCATTCCCACAACCGCATTGGCGTGTGTGTCGGTCCTTCACTTCATACTGCCAAGCACCGTTCCACTGGGTGGATGGGCCACGAGACCTCCTGGACACTGGCTGATGCACTTTCGGGGTGTTGCCCGCGTGGGGCCATGACATTCGTGCACAGGGGTTTGTGGGGATACGTGGAACTCTCATGTCCCTCTGAGCCACCCATATATCTTCTTTGGTAAAGCGCTCAAATCTTTTGCCCATTTGTAATTGATTCGTTTGTCTTTTCATGTGGTTGTAAAGTTCTAGATACAAGTCCTTTGGCACACATGTTTTGCAAATATTTTCTTCCAGACTGAGGCTTGCCTTTCTATTTTCATAACAGTGCTTTTTGAAGAACAGACGTTGTTTTATTTTGCAGAAGCCCAGGGAATGGATTTTTTTAATTTTATGGCTTGTACTTTCTGTGCCACGGTTAAGAAGTCTTTGCAAAACTCAAGTCACAACAGTCAGGCCCTCCGTCTTCTTCCGGGAGCCGTGGAGCTTTTGCTCTTACATTTGGGTCTTTGACCTATTTGGACTTCATGTTTGTGTGTGATGCGAGGTGAATTCACAATTTCCTTGTCTTCCGTGCAGGTGTCCAGCTTCTCCAGCTCCGTCCGTGGCGAAGGTGATCTTTGCTACTTGTCCGGCAGACTTCCACTTAGGTCTCAGCTGGAACTAGGTCACATGGCCACACTGCGCTGGAAAAGAGGCTGGGGAAAGCTGGGGACAGGACTGTCATGACCTGTCACCTGAGGCTGAGCCCACTGACGCCTTGAACAAAATTGGGGTCTTATCCCCAGAGGAGAGGCTGGGATGTAAATTGGGTGATGTTATGGATTGAATTATGTCCCCCCAAAAGCCATGTTGAAGTCCTAGCCCCCAGTGACCTCAGAATTTGACCTTATATATGAATAGGGTCTTTGCAGATCTAACTAGTTACGATGAGGCCCTACGCAGGTAAACCTGGATAATGTCATCTCATGATGTTTAATCCACATATCCATATCCACAGAGAACCAATAAGGGCACATTCACACGGTCCAGGGTTTAGGATATGGACAAACCTTTCGGATGCCGCCCCCCTCGGCCCACTATAGACAGGAACATGCTTGGTGTGTCAGAGGCCATGTGACTGGGAAGCCAGTACTGAGTCCCTTCTCGCTCCCCGCTGGGGCCCAGGACAGAAGAGGCACATGTGCGGGAAAGGTCCGTGACTCCCGGCTCCTTCTCCTCTTTCTCCGCAAGCAGGATTTCCAGGTTCTCGACCGAACATCCCCGGCAGCCACGTAAACTGCTCCGCACACCCAGGTTGCTGGGGTCAGAGAGCAGAGGTGTTGCTAGCCGTCAACAGCCGGCCCACCTCCTCCTACCACCCTCCTGCCTGGCAGCCCCGGGACCCCTCCCTGCCACCACCACCCCGTCATCCTGGGTGGCTGGCCCAGCACTTCCTGCCTTCTCTTCCCTGCCCATGGGTCAGGCCCAGGGCAGCTGTGCAAGCTCTTTCCAAGACTCCTGTGTCTGCCAGGCTAGTGGAAGTGAGAAGAGGTGCAGAGACAGCAGGTAGGGGAGCTGAGTGTGTGGGGGGCTGCCCCCTGCATCCAGCGAAGAACCGTCCTAGTGGGAGTCTAGGCGGTTCTGAGGACACCCAGCATGCTTCAGGCCTGACGCTCGGCATCGAAGAACCAGCCTGTAGCTCAAATGTGGCAGAATTTTCCCTGATGGAAGGAGACCTTGCTCCTGGCCCTTTCTCAGAGCACTTGCATGAGAAACCGAAATAAGCCTCCTGCCAGCCTCAGAGCCCAGGAAGGTTCTTCGCAAGGGTCCCAGAGGCACCTCTTTGAAACGCACTGTCGAGGAAGGTAGGCCCCTTGGCTCCCGCTCTAGCCTCTGGCCACCTGCCTGCCACAGAGACAAAGCTTTCAGTGTCCTTAGGATAAAGGCAATTCACTAGCCCAGATGGCCACCCTGATTACCAGGCGAACTTGCCATGAACCAGGATGGGCGATCTTGTGGTGTACCTGCGTGGCCTGGTGGGCAATTCCGTTTAACACTTCATAGTCACATTGTTTGCTTTCTTTTCCACACTTGTGAAGAGGAATGTGGGTGAGCACGACCTTTAGTTTCTCCCAAAACAGGCAGGGTTCAGGGGGAGGGGGCCGAAGTGAGAGGACGTAGATCTGGCACAGGGATGAACGCGGGCCCACGGAAGCACCGGCTTCTACCCCCCACCCCTTGCCTGTCTGGGACTAGAGACGGTCGCACTTTACACCACTTAGGAGACCCCAAGAGCTCGGGCTGCATCTGAGGGAGGATAAAAAGGAGATGGAAACTGAGCAGCTTTGTATCCGTGTATCCTAACTCCCCTGCATGCCTACGGATCATACGCAAGGTTTTATACACTAGCCAGACCCCAATAAAGCTGGAAAGAAAAATTAAATTAAATTAAAATTCTAAAAACTTTTAAAAATTAAAAGAGAGATGCCTGGAATGCCAGCCAAAATACAAGAAATAAAGAGAAGGATCAGAAAGGAAAGACGTTAACAACCGATTGAAGAAAACCCCCTTGAGAAGACAAAGGCCCCTCAGCTCCAAACCAGATTGCCCCAGAGCTGGGCCGTGCCTGGTGAACATTCCTGAACTCCCAGGAAAACTGGAACCTCCTAGAAGCTTCCAAACAAAAGAAATCAGCCACAGCAGGAGGGGATCCGAGTGAGCGGGCTATCCAGGCAGCTCTGGAAGCCAGAAGCTGGAGACGTGCCTGCAGGCCGGGTGGTCGCGGGCAGCCCTGCGACTCCCTCCCCCAGCCAGTCACTCACCCAGCAGGGGACAGGAAGCTCAGAATATACGTAGTAGAAGAAAAGCTGCTGGACCACACAGGGCAGAGGCCCCAGGGAGCCTCGGAGCCTCGGAGGGAGCCATCACCTTGCAAGCTGGGCAGTGCTGCCTCCGTGTGGGGCAGAAAGCCCAGAGAACAGGCGTGGTGCTGGTTCATTCTGTGTGTCAACTTCGCTAGGCTAGGTTTTTGGTAAAACACCACTGTCAGTGTCACTGTGAAGGGAGTTTTTTTTCTTTTTTTAGGCGAGATTAACACCAAAATCAGTAGACTCCGAGGGGAGCAGATCGACCTCCATAAATGCGGCTCTTCCCTGAATCTGTAGCCCCCAAAACTGTGTGGGCCCGTTTCCTGGTCTGTTGCTCAGGAGAATCCCGACTGATACAGTTATAAGCCTGGAAGCATGAACACGCAGCTACTAGACAAGCCAATGAACTGCAGTTATCACGGGACAGTTTCACATAGTGTCACAGAATTGGATCGATGCAGTAGACAAAACGAGTCGGAATGTAAAGGAACCAAACAGTACAATTGTCAAACTAGGTTCTGGAGAAACACAGGAAAGTGCATGAAAGGAGAGGCAGTTTTTCACAGTCTGTGGAACAAGTTTTCAAAGTTATTTATACATTTGGCTTCTCTTGTGGGTTGAATAGCTCCCCCCCACACCCAAACAAAAAGACATGTCGGAGTCCTGACCGCCAGCACGTGCGAGTGTAACCTTATCTGGACACGGGGTCTACCCAGAGGCGATCGAGTTATATGAGGTCGTTACGGTGGGGGCCTGAGCCAACAGGACCGGGTCCCTCTAAAAGGGGGTCATTTGGACGCAGAGATGGGCACGCGGGGGAAGGCCACGTGAGGAGGGGGACAGAGCTCAACGTGAGGCTTCCCCAAGCTCAGGAACGCCACCGATGGCCAAGGACCACCAGAAACTAGAGAGGCCCGGAGCCGACGGTCCCTCAGAGCCACCAGGAGGAGCCACGCCTGCCCACACCTGGATCTCGGACTTCGGGCCCCCTAGTCTGTGAGGGAAGGGATTTCGCTCGTTTGAGCCACTCGGTGTGGGGGGCTTGGTCATGGCGGCCCTAGGAAACTCATACTGTCCCCAAACACCCTTAAGCAACACATCCTCAGACCGTTACCCAATACAATTAGAAATACACAGTAAGAGATGACCACAAAGTCTTGACAACTCAGATAAGCTCTACTCTGCAAGCTTTATGTCCGTGAAGACGTGAGAGCAAAATTAGAAACACCCGTAATGCAAAGCAAAGAGGGAGATCTCACTCAGGGAAACGTTAGTCTCTGGCCTCAGTTATTCAAGATGGAAGATGACAAAGGAACGTAGTTTTCCTCTTCAGAAATTAGAGGAAAAGAACAAAAACTAAACCCAAAGAAAATAGATAGATGGAATTAATAAAATTAAAAGTTGGAGTTAATGAAGCAGAAAACCAAAAATTTAAAAAGAAAAAAAGGATAAAGGATAAATCAAAATCTTGTGTTTTTCCCTTTGTAAAGACCAATGGAATGTATAAATGGGAAAGGAGCTACTGCTGCAAACGCTGAAGAAACAGAAAGACTCATGGCAATACACCTGAACCCTTAGAGGAAACTGACTTTACAGACCGTAACACAACGTAGAGGCGCTAATGATTTTTTAGAGCAGCATCTGATGAGACCCCATTTATGCAGAATCACAAGCGCGTGTGTGTGTGTGTGTGTGTGTGTGTGTGTGTGTGTATGAAGTGCAGCTAAGTATGTGGGAGGGGCATCTGTGAGGAGTGTGTTTGCACTCCCGTGAGCTGGTGTATGCGTGTGCGTGGAGGTGGGTGTGTGCATGGGGAGGGACGTGTGAGTGCGGTGCACGTGCATGGGCTAAGGCGTAGAAAGCAGGGTCCCCACAATGCCAACGCGCGAAACCCTCTCACAGACACTTGTCTGCCCTATAGGAATTCTGCACAAGGCCAGGCTTCGCAGGAAGCGCCAACACCCAGTGGTCTCCCTGAAGAAACAGCGTAATTACCGTGAGCATCCCCTACCTCCAAAGCTCACGGGTGTGCTGTGCTTTGTCCCATCTGCTGGGCGACACACGGGCTGGGTCCAGCCCGGGACTGGTAGGAATACAGCCGCCACGAGCAGTTACGTGTGAGTCTGTGTGTGGACACACAAACTCATCTGTTGGCTGAGTGAGTACCTAGTAGTGGAATCACGGGGTCATGGTGGCAGATGCACAGCGGCCATTTTAAGACGCGGCCCGAATGCCCTCTACGGTGGTCGTATCCTCCAACATTTCTACCGGTTCTTCGGCGTCCTCGCCGACACTTGCCACCAGCAGACTTTTATCTCGTAGCCATTCTAATAGGTGTTAAATGTCCAGGAATTCTGAGAGCTGATGGTGAAACACCACCATTATTAGAAATGAAACTATCTCAACGTTCACCTGTATTAAAAACAAACGGGATACTCGGAACTCATCACGCCCTATTTCACCAGCTTACTGCCATCCGCCTGTCATCGCCAACAGCACGGCGCGCTCCGATGAGTCTCTCCCCGGCCTCGCGTTCCATGACATGGTGCTGGTGCCTGGAAACTGGCCTGGTGGACGGACTGACACCACCATGGGACTTGGCATACGCTACAAACCAGGGCTTGGTCCTTTATTGCTTGGTTGATTGTGTAAACTTGAGTCTGTAGTCATTACATTGTGACTAGCAGAAAAGGGGGGGGTGTGATATTCTTCCAGTATCAAAAACTATGCTCTAGTTCAGCAAAGGTGTGCCTCGTGTCACCAATGAACATGGGAAGTTCCCATGTACATCTTTGTTTCGCTTCCTCTTATTCATTAACACAAATGAAAATAGCAACCAACACTTACGTGGGAGCCATACTCGTGTATTTACATCCTTCGTATCAGTAAAATTGGAAACTACTCACTAGTGTGGATATGTTCACATACATGCATACCGAGAGACACACGCACACATACACAGACCCACACATTTTTTGCTTTCCTGGAGAGCTGCTGTCACCCGCCCAGCCTGTCTGTGCAGCACAAGAAGGCACCAGGTTTGGCCTGGGAGGGTGCCTGAGGCCAGGAGAGCCCAAGGTGGGCCCAGAGACCACTCTGGGCCAGTGGCAGTGGCCACGGATCAGGCCTCTCCTGACTTGCCTATTGAGTGAGAAAGGGACCCTCTTGGCATCAGCACCTCAGCTAGATAATGGAGACCCAACCCAGCTTGGGCACCAGGGATCTGAGGGTTCCTGGCTGCCTCAATCCTGGCGGTGCCCCTACTCTCTCAGCCCCGGCCTGGTGCAGGCTCTGGGGCCAAGGGCCCACTCTGGCCTGGCCTGTGGCCCTCTGCCAGGTGGGTGTTCTCCTGCGCAGGGAGCCAACCAGCCTTCCCTGGGAAGCCCAATAGTGCACAGACCACACTCCCTAATTAGCTCCCACAGGTCCTTCCCTTACTGTATACCCTCGCCCACTGCTGCCATCCTGTCCTTGGCCAGACCAGGGACCAACCGAGGGCCAGACCCTCCAACCGAGCCCCAACCCCGTTGCTCTTCTCCCCCTTAGTAGCCATACTCCCCCTGAGGCCTGCTATGGTCCATTCCCCAGAAGGCAGCCCGAGAGGCACTGTAAAAACACAAATCAGATTTTGCCCCTCTCCTGCCTACAACTTTCTGTGGCTCCCCATTACCCTCGGGGCCAGCCCAGACCCCCTGTCTGAGGAAATGGGCATGGCCCCAGGTGGCCACTGCCTGTGTTCTGACCTCACCATTCTACCTCACACATTGCTGTCACTCTAGTCACTCTGACCTAGTTAGAGTAGCCCCAGTGGGCCTGGCTGGCTCAAGGCTTTGCTCCTGCGAGTCACTCTTGGGTGTGGCTGCCCCACCCACCCCAGCCCTTCTCATCTGCTCTCCGTCTCCCAGACATCCCGCCCCTGCCTTGCCCCATTGTTTGTGACACAGGTGGGGCCCCAGAGGCAGGTCAGCTTGCTCCCCAAAGCCTGGCCAAGCCATAAGGGACACAGGGCCCAGGACAAACTCCTTCCCAGGTGCTGCCGTCACGGTACTGGCCGGTCCTCCTCTCCTGCACACGTCAGGCGCCCCTCAGCCCAAACGCACCAGGGGGCCCTCCTAGAGACCAACTTGCACATGTAAGGCCCTTTCTGCATATGTGCCTGTGTGCAAAAGGGGGCGCCTCCCGATTTCTCCCACACCCGGAGCAGGTCAGGCACTGTGCTGTTCTACGGGCCCATCTTTCATCCTGTTGCCACCACGCAGGGCAGGGACAGAGGCTTCGGGAGAGGAAAGAGCTGCCCAGGATCCACAAGGGGCAAGAACTGGAGCTGGGCTCTGCGCCTAGGCGGGCACGGGGCTCTGCGGGCACAGCACCCCGGGCTCCCTGGAGGCTGTCCTCCGGTTCCATCCCCAGCTCAGATTCGGGGCCAAGGCAGATGATCCTAAGGCCCCCCACCACCAATTTCCTGAGCCTTGGGGTGACGATGCAGGGAGTGGGTGATGAGCAAGACAACAGCAGACCAGAAGAGGAGAAGGCCCATGGTGGGGGACCTCCAGCTCTGTCCGTCAGCCCCCTGGATCAGCCTCTGAGCAAAGGATCCTCACCCATACACCCACCCACCATGCACACCGCCAAGCATAGGTCACAAGGGGGCAGCTGGCGGGGGGGGGAGCTCTGCTCTGGCCTGGCTCCCCGCCTGCCCCCTCTGCGCAGGGCGTAGAGGGGCAACAGGAAACTCGCTGGTGAGTGGTTGTTGATGTTTATTGAGACCAGGTGAAGGGCGGGAGCCTGCAGCGGCAAACCACTAGAGCACAGTCTGGGGGGCCGGGAGAAAGCTCTCAGGCCACAGGGCTACACAGGCCAGGGCCAGGAGCAGGCCCTACACACATCCAGGGCTAGCGGGCTAAGAGGACAGGGAGGGACAGCGGGGCACTGGTCTGGGGCTAGCTCCGGGCCTCAGAGCCCGACAGAACGGTCAGAGCCGGTGCTGCCCACGGCGCTGGGAGTGGGCCTCATCCCCGCTGGGGGGTGGAATCGCCGAGCCCCTGGCACTCAGGCTTCGAGGCTCGGGCCATCAGGTGGCACATACATGGGCTCAATGTGGGCCCAGCTTCGGGCCTGCTCGTCGGCCCAGCCAAGCAGCTCGGCAGCCCGGTGCAGAAAGACCAGGAGCAGCGTGTGGACATCGCCCTCGGCCGAGTGGGCTGCGCTGGGCTCCGCCTGGAAGTAGCGGCGGAAGAGGCTGCCCAGGCTGTAACCCTTGCAGCCCTGGGCCCTGGTGCCGTGGCTGTGGGCGCGGTCCAGGCTCCGCAGCGCGGGCAGCGTGTCCAGGCAGACGGTGTCCACGGGCAGGCGGGCGCCCAGGCGCCGCAGTTCCGTGCACAGCAGCGGGAAGTCATAATCAAAGCCGTTGTGGGCCACGAGACAGAGGGGGCCCTCCTGGCGGCTCAGGAAGGCCTGCAGCGTCCGCACCACAGCGGCGTCGAAGCCAGCCTTCCGGCACCGGGCCAGGCTGGCACTGCTCAGGCCGGTGATCTCGCTGGCCTTGGCCGTGAAAGGGCGCTCCGGACTCATGCACAGCGTGAGCTTGTCCAGGACCCGGGGCAGCACAGGGGCACCGGCCTCATCTCGGTCCGGGTTCTCCAGGGCGGAGCGGTGCACTGCAAACAGGGATATCTCGGCCACCTCAGGATTGACACTGGGGAGCCCGGTGGCTTCCAGATCCAGGAAGACGAAAGTCTCTGCCCGGGGTGCCTCGGACATGGCGATGTGCTCACGGGGACAGCAAAGCCTAAAGCTGCCAGGGCAAGAGGCACAAAACCTGAGGGCCAGAGTGATGGGGCTGCCTGGGCCCAGCCACACACAGCTGATTCCAGGGCCAATGTTCCAAGCCCCTTTGTCCAGGATGAGGCCTCCTAGGGCCTTGGCACCCTCTCCATTCTGTGCCCCAGTCCCTCCCTGGCCACTGTCACTACTACCAACTAGTAAACAGCAAAAGGTAGGGCCGGTCTGCACAGATCCCGGCCCGGAGGCCTCTGCCACCTGCCTCCAGGTACCTGAGAGGCCAAGTGCACCAGGCCTGTGTCACCAGGGACCCAGGGAGGGGCCAGCCCGGGATGGTATCTTCACTGAGACACCTTGGCTAGGAGCCTGCAGTCCTAGGGTCATCTGTCGGGAAACAGGCAGCCAAGCCTCCTTGGTTTGGCCTCCTCTGGCCTCCCTGGCACACCAGGTGCCTTCCCCAACTGGGCCACCTGCCTCTGGGCTCCTGGCGGCTGTCCTCACCGACCCTGCTGCGCTGGCTTACCTGGGGCGGGTGCTGGCCGGCTTCCTGGGCTGCTGGGCACCTGTCTCCACACAGGCTGCTCCAGGCGGCCTTTAATCAGTGGCCGTGGCCCGCCCCCAGTTGCCTGTTGGGCAACGAGGAGGCCTAAGGCCGCAGGACCTGTGCAGCCAGCTCACCGCCCCCTTGCTCACTCACAGGCTGCTAGACACACGCCCTGTGTTTACAGATTGGAAAGCAGGCTCCTGGGCCACACACAGCCTCCCCACAAGCCGGGCCACGGGCTGGAGGAACGTGTCATCACAGGCTCAAGGAGGAAGCACGAGCCATCCACCCAGCCTGGCCTCCAAGTCTGACCGGGGCCAGGACTTAGCAGCTGAGCTGGGGCGACTCCCAGCAAGGTGGCAAGTCCCTTTCTCCAGAGCAGAGCTCCACCCGTGTCACAGGGACCAGGCTGGCCCTCATGAGGCTAAAGAGAGCTTGGGAGTGGGCAAGGGGTGCCGGCATATGCCGTGCTTAGCCAAGAAAGGGAATGGCGCCCTCGGGATGGGACCCGGGTGTCACCCCAGTGACCTCAGACACTTTCCACGCTGCCTGGCTCCCACAGGCTCTCACAGGCTCGCCTACCAGCAGGAAGGGAAGATGGTATCTGTTTCACGGGCACAATGACCCATAATATCTAAGCAGCCTTTAGCAGAGGCTGCCAGGAAGGAGGAAGAGGCGAGGCCTCACCTGGCAAGCCACGTGGGCTCCAGCTGAGCCAATCCTGCCCCACCAAATGACGAAGGATGAGCAACAGGAAAGGTGGGTGTACGAGGCTGCCTCTGCTGCACCCCCAGCCCCGTGGGAGCGGGAGTGAAGGCCAGCCCCTCAGAGCCCAGAGAAGTGGGCGACATTGTCCCGAGGACCTCGTTCCGGAGCGAGACATGTCAGCCCTCGGCAGTGGGTGCCCACAGGCCCAGCCTCCTGCCAGGGGCACAGGCAGGCAACTGAACCTGGGCCTCCGCCAGTGGTCTCCTTGCCTGCAGCGCCCACGGGGGACTTGACGAGGTGAAGGCACAGAAACAGGTGAGGCCCAAAGCCAGGGCGGGCCTCTGCAGTGGACCAAGTGTTGGGAGGGAGGCCCCTCCTCGAGGGCCCTTTGGCCTGTGGCTGGGCTGAGGGAGGCAGAGGCCCCACCAGTCATGCCTGTCCCCGTGCTTGCAGGGAGGGAGGTGGCCGTGACAGGTGCACTGCTCAGGGAGATACTGGGTCACCCTGGGAAGCCCAGAGAGCAGCTTCCTGGACAACTAGTCAGGATACCGGCAAGAATGCCCCAGGCCGGTGTAGGGAGCCCTGGGGAGGAAGGAGGGGGGAAACACGGGCCCTGGCCACTGGATCCCAGATGGGGTGGGTGCCCATGGCTGGGCCGTGGCCCTCACATGGGACCCCAAAGGCCAGTCACAATGGATGCAGCAGGGGGCAGTCAGGTGCCACGGCGAGGTGCAGACTTCAGGGGCTTGACATCGCCCAGTTTAACTGGGCAGGGAAAGGGACGGAAGAGGGGCACGGCTAGAGCCGCCTGGGATGGCAGGAAGCCCACAGCCAGGTGCGGCCCGGGATCCAGGGTGCCAGCCCGGGAAGAGGAGCCGACGGAGCAGTGGGGCGCCCTGGCCCCTCAGCTCCGGCCAGGCGGCAGGAGGAGGCAGGCGTGAGGCAGCTTCCTGGAACCCGAGCCTTCCTTTCTCTCCAACTCACCTCTGCCTCCTCCCTCCTTCCCTCCCAAGCTGCTTCTCCTGCCCGAGGCTGGCCCTGCGCCCCCCGCCCCCTGGCTCTTCGGCGTGGAGCTTCCTGCTCACAGCCTACTCCATGCCTTTCTGCAGACTGTCACGGAAGATCTTGTATTTCTGGGTTAGTTCTTCCATTTTGGTGGCTGCAGAGAAAAGAAACAAAACGAACAGCAAAGTGATTCCTCGTGCTTCCCAGCCTGGAAGAGGCCACTGCCTGCCCCCGCCCAGAGCCCTTCCTCAGCCCCAGGCTTCCCTGCGCCTGACCCTCGGGGGGCCTGCAGCCTGGGCGTCCAACTGCCACTGAGATCCCGAAGCTGCTGAGCCGGGAGCTGCTAGGAGGTCGGGGGCTGAGAGCAGAGAATGGAAGGCCCTGGGGGCTCCAGGCTGAGCCCCAGGGCTGTTTCTACTCCCTGGGCCACAACCCTGCCCACCCCGACCCCCACCACAGAGCCCAGGAGCCAGGGGCTCTTCCGAGCCGCAACTGAGGTCCTGATGCAGGTAATGAGCGCAGGGCGCCAAGTACAGGGACTTCCGCTCACTCCCCTACCCCACCCGGGGGACTCGCTCTTCCCTTTGGTTTCACAGGTTAGTGGTGCCTTCACTTAAATGCACACCTATTCCGTCCTCCACCAGCCTGCCTCTCTGCCTCCAGTCCGGCCCCTGCCCCCCCTACACGGCAAGGTCTTTAATCGACATTTGGTCCCACCTGTCCAGAGGGGGACACTGAGGCTCAAGCATCATGCGGTGTGCCTCAGGGTGACGAGCAGGCCCCAACGCCCCTCCGCGCCCCTCCGCTTGTCATCAGCGCTCCCGCTGAGTGCACTCGACTGTGCTTCCTGTCCCCATCACCTTCCTCCTCCCGTGGGGTCTTCCTAGGTCCCTTCCGGAGTCCTCCGCCTCTGCCACAAACCCCAGCCTGTCCACTCTGCCTCCTGGGGCCGCCTCAACGCTGGGTGCCCCACCAGCTCACACGTCCTGGGATATCTTGGCCAGAAGCCAAGGAATTAGCCTCCGGAGGCCACAGTTCACGCTCTGAAAGCTTGGACCCCGGCACATCGGGGTTCCAGCCTCTATTTCTCCCTCCTCCTCCTCCTCAGCAGGGCCTGCTAGCCACTGGGATTGGCCCTCATTTTGCTGATCTATGCATTTTCTCTCTATTCTTACACACTTGTTTGCCTGCTCCTGCTGTCCTGCCCCCACAGAGCTATCGCCCTTGATTTTTTTCAGCACTCTGGCAACCACTTTTAACTTCTAAGGGTCTTTGCTTGTTTTCCTCTTTGTTGTTTTCTCATGGTTTTCTAGGTTAGGGTGTGCTGGGAAGCTCTCATTTCTGAATGACTTTTCCAGGTCTTTCTTCTCTGTTCCATGGTGCTGGGCCAGGCTGGGGAGAGAAGGCCTGGGAAGCTGCTGTGCTGGTCTCGCCTCGCTCTGGTGGAGACACCTGTGTCCCACGTCCTGCACAGCGTTTCCCAGCAGGGGCTCTGCGGGCGGGGGGGGGGGGGGAACAAGGCAATGGACATGGCCATCATGTCATGGACACTTGCACCAGAAAAAAGTGGGCTTCAGTTGGGATTCCAAAGCCATGCCAGGAGCCTGGGTTAGCCATTTATTTCAGTCAATTTCTTTATGAAAGGACAGGCAAGAGTCTCACTGGGGGCACCACTCTGTACAGACTGGCCTTGCTCACACCCTCTGCTTCCAGCCCATTCCCCACTGCCCCCTCCCCCTGCCCCACAGGGCTGCTGGCCACACAGTCCTGGGACAGCAGCCCATCTACCAGACAGGCCCCACTCTTCTCCCCTGGTCTGTGGCTTTCTCCAACTCTCCGTGTTGGTGCTATCAACTCCCCTCCCATGCTCTCCGCACCAAGGCAAATGGGGCTTCAGGTCCACTCAGCAGAGATGGCGACTGGTGAACAATGATGAGAGAAGCGGCCCAGTCCATGTCACCAAGGCCCTCTCCACACATGCAGCAGCATGGCTCAGGACACAGGCCCAGCGGGCACACCCAGCCCCCCACTGCAACGTGGGGATGTGCTACCAATGGAGCCTGGCTACTGACACACAGAGAGGTGGCCCAGCCTCTTGTCCTGGGGAGGGAAGGGCTACAGACGCGCAGACCTCCCATAGCTGCAGGTCCTGAAGAGGCCACAAGCCGAAGCCTTGGGTTCGGTCAGGTGGGACACAGGGAAGGCGGGAAGGCCGTTCCGACTGGCCCTGGCATGGAGTCAGCATGGACTGCTTCCCTGGTGTGTCTGTCTGTGGCCCAAGAACTCATCTCAAACAACATCTGGAGGGGCCGCACTTTCCCTCCCCTCTCTCCAGACCCACCGAGGGGGCCAGGATCTCAAGGCTGAGTCTGTGGGCCACCCCGCAGAAGGAGGGGGAGGGAGGGGTTCACACAGCTCAGACGTCACGGTTAGCCCTCCAGCAGTCCTGTGAAGGACACTAAGGACCATCATTCCATTAATGATGGCATTTTATTAACAGCAATTATGTATAGTGGCGGGGGGAGTCACAGTGACAGTGGTGACTAGGATAAATGTTAGGACAAATCTTAAAATGGATGAGCTTGTGGCAGGTCTGTCAGAGAGAAGAGATCCCGCGAGTACCCGGTATATATGTGGCAAGGCCAAGGCGGCTGGCTGCCCGCAGAGAGGGCTGGATGGCAAGTCCACACAGAGGGAGGGCTCAGAGGCTCTGTGACCTTAAGGCACTCCTTGGGGGTGCCCTGCAGGTAAACATTTACAAGCAAACGCCAGGACTTGGGAGCAGGTGGGGAGTGGGGGGTCCACAAGGGCTCTGAGGAGTTCCGCAGGCCTGGCAGTCTAGAAGGCCACATGCACACCCAAGGCTGTGCCAGTTCCCAGGAGAGGACGGACAAAGACCTGAACGATCGCCTCTGGCTGACCTTGAGGCTCAGAACAAGCAGGAAGTGAAGGAGAAGGAAGAGCCATCAACTGAGTGCTGATGAGAAGCGAGGCTACCTATCCGAGAAACTCGGCGAACTCCGAAAGGGAGAAAGTCAAGGCCATCTGCACCAAGACTGATTTGAATCTGACTGTCCAGAGCCAAAGACCAAGCGGCTCTTGAGCCCCAGAGGAGCAGAGGGCCCATGGAAGGGTCTCCACGGGGTCCGCAGCTGGGTTCACATCACATGCCGAACACAAGATTCCTACCCAGCTCTTTAAGAGTTTGCCAGCTAC